TGATTCATTTGCTGTTTGATATTCTTTTAAAGCAAGCTGGTGCACAGGATCTCTCTACCACTACAGCAAAATGGCTATAGCATATCCTTTTTGACACCTGTGATTTTTTTTAAACTACATGTTATGAAGGTGAGCATTCATGTGAAATAAAACATCACAATTGTTGTAAAAATAAAACACCCAGTTGCAGGATATTTGAAGGTGAAATGCAAAATAAATAAATGCATCTGAACCTGCTACAGAAATTCAACATTCAAATCTGTGGATAAAATGTGAAAGTTACGACTTATTAACATAAATATGTTTTCAAAGACTGGGGTATACAAGACTTATGTTGAATTGTGCACCCTCTTGTGGCCATAGACACATATCACAGAATCAGTGAACTGCTGCTTCAAGTACGAGTTGACAACATGTTACTATTCTCATCGTGTTAAGAGACCAATCAGCTGAGGTTATATTTCTTAAACAGTGGAAAACAACTGATACACACACGGTGCAATAACCAAACACACACATGTGAAACAACTATTCAAACACACTACATACATTAAAAGTTGTTACTTCATTTTCAATTTTGGACTGTACTTTATTTGACTTTTTTACAGTCAGCTCTTTCTAATTTCTCTTTCTTAATTTTAATTTAACTATTGCACTGCTGAGCTGACCTGTCTCTTCTCGTCCAACACCTTTCATTGTACTGTCGACCCTGTGTTCACTTGCAACTTGACTCAGCGTTATTTGTCATGAATAACACTGGTTTGTTTAACACTTTTTTGTTTACCACATAATTCCATATGTGTTCCTTCATAGTTTTGATGCATTCAATATTAATCTGCAATGTAGACACAAATAAAAATAAAGAAAAAAACATTGAATGAGAAAATGGTGTCCAAACTTTTGACTGGTACTGTATATTTGATTTGATTTGTGATGTACCTTTAGCCTCAGTGTAACCTCAGATTCAGCCTGAATAGTTGATTACAAGGCCAAAGAACTATAACTGAGGTCTGAGGTTTTGTCCCTGACATCTACTGGTGGAGGCTAATACCTGCTAACATCTACTGTTGCATGCTAACAGCTGCTAACATCTACTGGTAAGAGCTTCAAACGTACAAGGGACTTCCACCATCATGTCTTATAATCTGAAATAAAATCATTCAGTACTACAACTCAGTTTCACAGTCATACAGAGTACTTCTACTTCGTGATTTTAGTATGTTGCACTGACATTGAACTGTAAGTCATCTGTATTTATATCGCAGCTTTTCGGATCGAACAGTTCTTCACAGCACTTTTACATTCACTCACACACGCATCCAGAGCCTCTGTGTGCAGCACTGTCTCTGTGAGAAAGAGAGAATCACCGTGAACTGTCCCTGATCACTGTTCAGTTCTTCCTTGGTTTCTCTGCAGCTTCCTGCTGAGATCAGCACACGTGTTCGGGACAGACAGTTCAAACTGAGATTCCAGATCCCAGGTTTAGTCAGATTGGTATCAGTTTTGTTTATTCACAGGTTTAGGAAGCCCAGCTTGCGCCGGGCATCAAAAAATTGGGCGAAACTCTTATTGTTCCTCTCCACGGAAATCTTTAGTAAAAGGCGAAAGATTTATACGATCTGAAGAGAAACAAGAGTGTACTGACTCCTACAGATCCGAGTGCTCCGAGCCACTCTCCGCCTCACTCCCCTCACTTACGTTTCCATTTTCAACCCCACATCCGAGAAATGTTGTTTCATCCAAACATATAAACTATTTCAATTGTAGATCTCCGACAGCAAAACCGAAGTCCTGTTTGTGAGAAATACGTGTAAATAGTTAGGTTTGTAACTGTTTAACACGCGCAAAGCATTGTGGGATTGGGCGAAACTGCCCCACGCCCCCTTAACAAATAATCACTTGTATTCATTCAAAAAACGATCTCGTTCATTTTACATTTTAAAACACGACGACTCTTGAACACGTGCAGGGCTGAGTGGTTTTACAATATGTGTTTATGTGTTGTTCTTCTCGCTGTTTGCAGCGTTTACGACGCATGCGCACAGAAATCAAAGATTAAGTGTTTGGCAAGAAAGTGCTCCACTCAAATCCGTTGTGACGAGTTCAGGACACTGGTGACATAAGCTTATAAAAAGTATTTAACTCCATAATAAGATAATTTCTACCCGTCCACACACGTCATGTCACCATATTTTCATAGAGTCATATGTTTTCAGCTGTTTTTACTCGTTATTATGTCCCACTTCCTGCTCAGTGTGCAGAAACAAAGACACGAAGAGTTTGAGATAATAATCTCCAAGAGCAGCTGGTACCGAGGAGCGGCCTTTGTCAAGATTCCTCACGTGGTGTCATTGTGCTCTGTCTGGGTGTGAAACACAGACTCCTGAACACAGACTTCAACATATGGCCTAAGATGTCAAATACATGATATTACACTCATTTCATTCATTTACCACCATTATCACAGTTTTATGAACTCTGGCCATCAACAACAACCAGCTTTACCTCCTGTAGATTTAAAAGCTGTTCTGCACTGAAATAACATCTATGGCACAGTTACTTTTCCAGGGAACACTTAAAATGGTCTACTTACAAAAATGGGCCTACCACTAAATACAGCTTTACACGTGTCAAAGACAGATCGACAGAGATCATTGATAACATTTGAAAAAGCACAATTTGCTGGAACATTTGCACCATTTGACTCCACAACGTGCACACATATATCCCTGTTGATCTATATATATGAATTTTAACCTTGTTTGCAAAGTTTAAATTTCATGATAATAAGTCATAACTTTAGGCTATGTGTAATTGTACAGGGGGAAATATGAGCAGATCAGGATCGAAGAGTGGAACATTGCTTCTTCTTGCTAGATGTTTATTTCATGATTTCTTTTTTCTTTTTCTCATAATATGACTTTTTTGTTAAACTGGCCACCAGTGTTTTAGCTATTTTAATTGCTTATAATTTTCTAAAGTGCATAAAATAATAAAACATACGTTTGATTTAGTGTTAACTCCCAACAGAAGAAATGTTTTATAGGCTGGTACAAACACCAAGACACTTGAGGTGTGATAGTTAATGATGGAGCTATACATGTAGCCCATGCTAATGCTGCAGGAGTCTAGAGTCCAGCTCCCTCATTATGCTTCTTTATACGAGACAACTTGTCTGCCAGGCTCGTACATGCAGTGATTTGTTGGACTGGATTTGCACTGATAAGCCGAGGCAGCATCTCAACACACTTGTCAGCGCTTTTTTAACATTTCCCGGAGAGAGCACTTGTCATTTTGTCAGCCTCCCCGTGGATAAAGCATGCGGGGGACAGCGGGCTGGGCTGTCACACTGCGCCCGCCCGAGAGCGCGTTTCCCCGGGCTGATGAGTCATAACAAGGGCCGGCCAGGTGGTGGAAATGAGCAGGGGGAGGCAGGGGCATTAATGTGTGTTTGTGTGTGTGTGTGTGTGTGTGTGTGTGAGAGAGAGAGAGAGAGAGAGAG